GCTGTATATTAACCTTCACAAGAACATCCACAAGTGTCTGCTGTCATTTGACAGACATCTGGAGAGAAGATCTGCTGTTACACAAAGACACCACAACATGAACGGCTCCAACAACAGTCACCAGGTTCATACAAATGTTTTCTGCAAAACATGGGCCCATGTGACCCATGTGACCGTAGCTTTGTCAAGTACGATTACATTACAGGCAGGAGACGGACCTCGGGGCCAACCTCTGAAAATTTTCCTTCAATAACTCCTGTAAATAATAGTTAACTTTTATCAATCATATGATGAAAATATATAAGTTTTTGATTCCTGTGAGCAAGTCATCACAGTGTTCAACCAAAACAAGCCCATGTTTCACCTGGGACTTTTTTTTTATGTAAAATTTTGGATGTGGCTCAGAAAAGGATGCATCAAATGTTTTGTAATCCACCAAATTATTCCAGATTTATTTGAACCTCCCCTCCCCCCCACTCCCAACGTTGACATATTATACAATTAAAAATCTGTGCAATTCTCCCACTGTGGCACTGATGCATCAAATATTGAAACTGAAATAAATGAACCTGTCGTACCAGACCTGACCACTAGGGAAGTCCACCCCACCTGGGGAAACACTGCTGCTATAGCACGAAAGACTCTGTTACTGTGTGGCCCTGACCAACACTCCCAGTGTGTGTGTGTGTGTGTGCCAACTGTGTAACAACCACATGAACACACACAAACGCTGCTCTTTTTTATTCCTGTTTGTTACTGCAGGAGAAGGTTTAAAAAACGAGCTGTAAAAATTGAAAATCCTCCAATCGCTGTATAGATGTGACTGTAAAACTTGATGCACCTCATTATTTTCTCCCATTCCCTCACCCCTCCCTCCCCCCACTCTCTACAGCAGGTCCGTCTGTGTTGCAGCTCAGGACCAGAGATAATCACAGTGAAAACCTTCTAATGGTTTCTCCTCCAGACAACGACACAAACAGATGTTCATCCTTGAATTAGCCTCTCAGCTCAATCAGCGCC